CCCCAAAACCCCAAAACCCCATGGATCAAGATTAAAGAAATAATAACGTTTCAACTAAATTAAATAATACTAATAAAAATAATCTTAAAATTGACTTATATCTGCATTATATACATTTCAGCATTATAAGTATTATAAATATCTTAAATCTTCTTCATTCTGTTAGTTTGAAGTCACTATCTTCATCACCTATTGACCTTTTTATAGTGACATAAAATTTGTCTTATTTTTCCTCTTCTTATTAATCGAGGTAATCATATATATCTTATTAATTACTATCCTATTTCTAAAATATCAACTCAAAATCATCCCTTTAATCAACATAAGCTTAAACATCGTCATTCTAGCCTCTTCGGTAGAACGTTATAGCTTAATCGTGATTTCTTATTTCATTATCAGACTCTAAAGATACTAGATTATTTTCATTAGAACTATTTTCTTATTATTCCTCTTCATTATAAATAAGTTCTGAAATTTATTCTTGAGTTATTTACCTATCTTTTACTTTATCGTTATCTAGGGCTTATAGATATTCTTATACTAAGTCTTTTTATCTTGGAGAGTCAGCAATTGTGTGCTCTATTGTTATAGACTTTCTTGTTTCACTATGAGAAAAGAGGCTGCTTCTCTTTGGAGACTTATTCATGAGGAAATTTCTTGTTTGCATAGTTGTATGCTTTTGATTCTAAATATTTTCTCTATACTTCTAGGATGATTTGTTTTTCAATACTTTTTTCTTCTATATCTGAATAACTAATTTGTCTTGTTCTTCAACCTGCTTTTGATTTTCGACTTTCAATTATGCCTGAATAATTTCTTTGATTCTATCTGTATAGTATTCATTCTCTTTATATTCCTCCTCTTAAATTTTATCTATCTTGTCAAAGGTTTCCAATTCTGCATCCTTTAAATTTCTTCTAAAATCAAATCTCATGAATGAACTTATCTGATGTTCTAATTCAAGATCATGGTTATCTATAGAATCTGAGACCAAAGAATTGTCATCTGATTCATCTAGTTTGCTTGGTGATTCTAAAATTGAATCTATATTATATATATCCCTTCTTTTAACTATTTAGTCTGCTGTTGAAATTACATTGAGATCTTCTTATCGTTATTTTGAAAGAGCTTTAAGACTAAACTTTGAAGGACTAAGGTTATTTTGATTCCCTCTTATTATCTTTGGTCTTCCAGAGACGGTTTAATTTTTATCAATATTTATAGGGCTCAGTTTAATATTATTAGTGCTGTACTTATCACTCACATTACTATTCTAATTTCTAAAATTAGATGCGGTTTTTATTAAAGCATTTGAATCCATACTAGTGGTTGACAAATTCATGCGATTGTATCTAACTTTTTTCGTATTTACAAATTCGGTAATATTGAGATTATCTAGGTCTATATTTGACAAATTTGATTAATTTTTAGAGGTTGAGTCTTAATCTTGATTATAGAAAAAGTATTCATCATTCAACTCACCTATTTCCTTATTAGGTTATATCTGAATATTATCTTAGAGAGAAGATTTTCTCTTTTTTCTATTTATAAGATAGTTTTATTACTTTTAATCATATTTGCCTTATTATACCAATGTCAAGATATTTTAGGCGCTTAAGTAAATATGGAGTTTTTCCAATGTTTTCTGATTAAGTAGTAATCTTCCTTCGAGATGTAAGTTTTTAAGATTGGAAACGACTATATTTAAAATAAGCAATAATATAATATACTTTAAAAGAAGTCTTCTCTTAACTCGTCATTTTCCTCATCAATTTTAAGCTGTCTTAATTCTCTTTCAAACAATTAGTAGTTTCCACAAGCACAAAAGAATAGATAAAGTCTAGGAATATTTCTCATAATTTTTCCTTTTACTTCTTGTAGCATTTTGATACTCCAATAGATGAAAAATGAGAAATTTGATAGAACTATTACAACAAATAAAGCCAAAAGAACATTATCACTCAATTATACTGCTTTATTCTTAAGCTCAGGATCTTATTCAACTTAACTCTGCTTAGTATTAGATAAAAAGAACAACCCACAGTAAATTGTAATCATAGAAGTCACTAAAGATACAGTTTCTAAATCGTTTAAAGCTACAGTACTGAATGGCTGAGTTTTCAAATTAAGTATTAAGAAGCATATTAAGAATATAAAGACAATCAAAGCTTAAGCCATTATTCCAAAAGCGCTTACAAATACTGAAATGAAAATCAAGAATATTTTTCTATACATTATAATAATCTCCCAGTAATGAAATCTCCTTCTATACCCTCTATAGAGAAAACCTAATTTCTATCTTGAATCTATATTTTCGAGGTTATGCCTTACTTTCATTAATAAAATTAATCCAAAAAAGGGTATTCCTAGCCCCCAAACAAATATGCTTGGTATTGCTACAAAATAACTAAATAAGGAATGCGTTTCACCCCAACAGGTAACCTCTAAATCATATAAGAGCCTGCTTTCACCATCTATTGATGAGCATTTAAAATTATTGAACATGTAGTGAACAATATTTGGATGCACTAAAAACAACAAAATAATCAAGGTAGAGATAATCTTCCCTTAATATTTCTCTTTTATATGTTTGATCTTGTGATAAGTAAGCCAAAATATCCATGAGCAAAAGCCAAGTAATAGTGGAGTAACTGCTAAAATGATCATTTTCTGATAAAATATTCTGAAAAACTCGACCTAGTCTGAGACATCATTCTAATCACCACCTCTTTTATCAATGAAACAATCAAATGAAAAAATTTATGTTGTAGCTTAGGCCACTGGCTTAATTTCTGTATAAAAATCAATCAACATTCTCGGCCAATCAAAACTGAAAGAAGAGCATAATACAATCAATTACAGATGATTCATCATGATTTTCAAATATATACTTGTCACATTTTTTGATTATCTGGCTCCAAGTAATGTAGATCTGACAACAAATACAATTAAAAAGCATACTCCAATAAAAATAGCTGCAAGTCTGAGAGAATTAGCAATTTTTTCAGGACATTCTTAGCACTTAAAATCTCCTTATCTTGAATAGCCAATTACACAATCTGCACATAATGTACCTTAGTATCCTATAAAGCAGGATCCTTTTGGATCATCTTATGGAGGGACCATTCCTAGGCACGCTGGTAAATACAAGCATTAAATAAAGTAAGAAGTCACATTATTCTTTCTCCAATATCCTGGCTTGGGTCCAATATTAGTGCCTCCATAGCAGCGGGCTTTGTCAGTCGGGCAAGTTTAGCACTCACCAGGCTAATCCATTTTAATTAGAGAAAAACTATTTCCATTTTCACATACTTCACATTTACCTGCAATAGTAAATTGTTCCCCTACCTTGCATTCTCTTAGCTTAACATCAACTTTGAAATCAATATCAGTTGAAGTAGCTTATTTAGCTAAATAGTCTTTATTAGATTTCTTTTTAATATCGATTCCATCAGTAGTAAAAACTAGCCCATACTATTAGCCAGGAGTACCTGTGAATTGAATATCTTAAATCTACACCACACCTGCAAGTACAAAAAACTGTGATTTTCCTTCAATAATAGGAGGATAGGTTAACGCATTTTAATCAAGAATTTTTTAAGAATCTATATTAACTCTAATTTTACTCTCTTAGTCTGTCCCTATAATCTGCCCATATTAATCTACTAAAGCAACGTACATACCAGGTATAGTGCCACCACTTCTTTAGCTAGATACTTACGCTTGGACATCCATTGATTAAGAATAAGTGGTTTAATTTTCTAGCAGCTATCTCATTCTCTAATCTATTCCTAACTTTGTTATTGTGTTATCATAAATAGTCTTATCAATTTTTATTATTTTTTAGGCGAAGCAAGATAAATCATTTCCATATTATACTGCATAATTATTCTTAAATTAAACATCAGATGATATTTTTGGCTCTAGAGACTCCCAATGTATAGCTCCGCCTTATCTAGTTGCTTAGTTGTTTAAGAATTAGGTATTATCATTGATGCTCAATTCGCAATTATCATTAGTATCTTTGCATTCATAGTAAATAGCTCCACCTGATCCATGGTATTTGAAATAATTTTCAGCTGTACTATTTATTGCTCTATTGTTCTTAAACTTTGTATTTGATATTAGCATTTTTTCTACATTTAATAGATACAGTGCACCACCAGAAACAGATATACAGTTCTAGAAAATAGAATTTCTTATTTGGTACTTTGCAGTATTTAAATTATTTATTTTATTTTAAGTTAGCTCTTCTATATAAAATGCTCCTCCTATAAAGCTATTCATATTTATAAATGAGGAATCTGAGATATCAATATCTTTACAGTCGATACAATATAATGCTGACCCGTAATTATGGTTGTCATTTTCAATGCCAATGTTCAGCATAGATACCTTATACATCTTTAGACTTAAGCTCGAAGCATAGATAGATAAATATGCCTAAGGATTCTAGAAATTAACGTTTTGAAGATTTAATTCTCCTTGTGTATTAGTTGCGTAAATGTCATCTCCACCATCATTAGCTCTATTCTTTATAAATTTCGTATCTTTTGATATTCTTAAGTAATCAAATCCAGACGCCTAAATAGCCCCACCAAATTAATAAGCTTTATTATCAGTGAATGTACTATCGATGATATCAATCCTTGAATCCCCAGCAATAAATATAGCTCCTCCTTATTTAGCAACTCCACTGATAAATTAAGAATTTTGAACAAATAGATTGACATCCAAAATTATAAATATAAAGCATCCATTAGTTTTATCAGTTTATAATTGTCTTTGAATATTTTTATATGAAAGACCTTAGAAAGTTGTGTCAAAAATATAAACCGATGAAAATCCAGCAAAAATATTTTTGCTTCTTTCAAGCGCATTATTCTCTGAGAATTATGAATCTTTTATAAGTAAATTAGCTTGTAGTATCGAAATAGTATTTTTATCTGCTTGATTTTACTCAAATAAGCATTGCTTAAAAGTTATATTATAATCCTTTGAGCCTTCCATCACTAATAAGACAGAACTTTCTTATGCTTTATTTTTAATAAATTTAGAAGTGCTAACATTTGAAACCGAACTTGTCTCCAGATTGATAACTCCTGACTCATAGTAAGCTTAATTCTATTCAAATAAAGATCCTGATATTGTAAGGAATGAGGCACTGTTAAGCAAAAACACTCCGCCTCTTTTAGCTATATTGTTGGTATATTTGCAATTTTTAACCTCTACTGTACTTTGAATACCCTGTAACACCCCACCATAAATAGCATAATTGCTATCATAACTAGAATCTTAATCATATAAAATTGTAGATGATAGGGCAAATATTCCCCCTTCAAAAGTTGGGCCGCATTTGTTAAAATAATTCTTTGTTAGATTTACGTATTTTGCCTTAGAAATTTTCATTGTGTTTTCATGGCTGTATGTTGGGTTTGAGGAATTAAGATAATCATCTACCAGTTATGCATCAAATTAAGTATTACAAGTAAATTAAGACTGCTTAATTGTTAGTTATAAATATTATGAGGCAGAGTCAAGAATTGCTGTTTTATTAGATAAAATGTCAACAAAGTTTGAATGTATAATAGTGAAGTTCAATATATTAGGTGATACCATTAAACCGCCATTTAAAATCCCTTTTATGCTTTTAAAACTTGAATTTGAAATTAATAGAGAGGCTTTATTGTTATCAAAATATGCAAATCCACCTGTGATTGACCTTATATTCTGAAATTTGCTATCTAAGATCTGATAGCTACTCGGATATTAATTTTAATTTGATTATTCTTATATTGACATAAACCCTCCTCTAATTAAAGCCTAAATGTCAGTGAAATTGCAACCTTAAAAAGTAGAATATGAGTTATCATTTGAATAAATAATTCCGCCAAACACAGACTATACTTATCTTATATCAGAATCTTTAAAAACTGCTGTTGAATTAAGTTGATATAGTACTCCTCCATTGATTGCAATAGAATTAAGAATACTTGTTTCACTCACATATAAATTTGTATTAATAGTTTAAAAAATTCCTCCATTCTTAGCACCAGTCTAATTTTTTATTATCGAATTAGTGATATTTGCAAGGATTGCATCTTATAAATAAAACAAACTTCCTCCAATTTCTGATCCTCCTTCATCATTAAATATTTATGATTTATACTCAAAAAGATCATCATCTAAGGAATCAATCAGAGTATCAGTTATTTCAAGTTTGAGCTAATTAGTCACTGAGTAAAAGAAATAACCTTGCTAGACGCTGGTAACTTTAAAATCAATGAATGAACATCCATCTTTGATTTAAATTTAACTAAGAATATTGTTAACATAAAATACTCCTCCT